CCTGGTTTTCTTCACACATACTGCTTAGAATTAAGGCCAAAAAGTTCTATCTTGGTCTCATCAGACCAGATAATCTTATTTCTCACCATCTTGGAGTCCTTCAGGTGTTTTTTCATGTGTCTTGCACTGAGGAGAGGCTTCCGTCGGGCCACTCTGCCATAAAGCCCCGACTGGTGGAGGGCTGCAGTGATGGTTGACTTTCTACAACTTTCTCCCATCTCCCGACTGCATCTCTGGAGCTCAGCCACAGTGATCTTTGGGTTCTTCTTTACCTCTCTCATCAAGGCTCTTCTCCCCCGATAGCTCAGTTTGGCCGGATGGCCAGCTCTAGGAAGGGTTCTGGTCGTCCCAAATGTCTTCCATTTAAGGATTATGGAGGCCACTGTGCTCTTAGGAACCTTAAGTGCAGCAGAATTTTTTTTGTAACCTTGGCCAGATCTGTGCCTTGCCACAATTCTGTCTCTGAGCTCTTCAGGCAGTTCCTTTGACTTCATGATTCTCATTTGCTCTGACATGCACTGTGAGCTGTAAGGTCTTATATAGACAGTTGTGTGGCTTTCCTAATCAAGTCCAGTCAGTATAATCAAACACAGCTGGACTCAAATTAAGGTGTAGAACCATCTCAAGGATGCTCAGAAGAAATGGACAGCACCTGAGTTAAATATTTGAGTGTCACAGCAAAGGGTCTGAATACTTAGGACCATGTGATATTTCAGTTTTTCTTTTTTAATAAATCTGCAAAAATGTCAACAATTCTGTGTTTTTCTGTCAATATGGGGTGCTGTGTGTACATTAATGAGGAAAAAAACTTAACTTGAATGATTTTAGCAAATGGCTGCAATATTGTTAAGAGTGAAAATTTTAAGGGGGTCTGAATACTTTCCGTACCCACTGTATATATATATATATTTATGAAAAAAATCTGGAATCTGAGGGTGCAAAAAAATCAAAATATAGAGAAAATCATCTTTAAAGTTGTCCAAATGAAGTTCTTAGCAATGCATTTTACTAATCAAACATTAAGTTTTGATATATTTACGGTAGAACATTTACAAAATATCTTCATGGAACATGATCTTTACTTAATATCCTAATGATTTTTGGCATAAAAGAAAAATCCATAATTTTGAATTATATAAAAATGTATTGCTACAAATATACCTATGCTACGTATGACTGGTTTTGTGCTGCAGGGTCACATTTATATATATATATATATATATATATATATTTATATATATATATATATATATATATATATATATACACACATATACATACACACACACAATATTATAGATGCAGTAATCAGTAATGTAATGTAATCAAATTGTAATTTTAACAAAGTAATTAGTAACATGTAGTGATTTAGGTTTTTGAGTAACTTACCCAACACACTGTGAGCATACAATATAATATTTAATTTATAATATTAAAATTAATGTAAAAAATTTTTTACAATTCTTAAACGACTTAAATTTGATTTGATACAGCTTTTTTTTATGCATTCATAAGATTCTTTAATTTAATTTAACTTCCCCTAAATTCCCCAACAAAAAGAGGACATTTAAACTATTTCCCGCTCAAACTCAGCATTTCCCATGTGATTATGCTTGCCAATCATAACTGAGTTCATGTACACCATCTTCAGCAAACAGCTTATTTCATTATATGCTCAAATTATGACTTTATTTACTTTAATTACATAAGAGAATTTCATACGCAAATAAAACGGCAGAATATGGTCCAGTGATCTTTACTTTAAAATAAATTTTAGCACAATGTCTTACCTATATTAGGATGATTTAAGACCTTCATAATCCTCACTTCACGAAAGAGCTGTGGGTAAAAATAGAGACAAAATGCATTAGAGAAAACCATCTTTTATGTACGGTTACCTGCATATTTATGACTCTGAATTGTAACATTTTAATATGTGACCAATACTTTGCGTAGATTCAGCCAGTAACAAAAACTTCCCATGGAAAAATATGATTTTTAGCAATAAATAGCACTTGACCTTCGGCATTTCAGCAACTTATTTCTTGCGCCATCAGTCGTGCAAAAAGCTCAAAGGTTCTCCTGGTTCTTGATTATTTTGTGTCAGACATGAACAATTCAGTGAATTGTGAATCTGACTGATTCACTGAATCAGTCCAATTCACAAATGAATGTTCAGTGTGATTCGTGAACTGATTCAACAGGTTCATTGTAAAAATCATATCTGTTTTCGCATTTACCCAGCAGTAAATTAAAAAAACTAACTGTGGTTGTTTGCCTCACAAGTCAATCAGAGTCTCTTCCTGTCTAAGTGGGCGGTTCTTGGTCAAAATAATCCACAGTCAGAAGTCTGTATGACAAACACTAGCAGCGCAGCGGCCTGAAGGGTAAATGCTGGATGGATCCTAAACACTACTCCAGGTTCCTCCCCCAGGGTCTCTTCATCCTAAAACGCTGCCATACACACAAACACCTCTCTCGGACAGCTCCTCACAGATCCTCTTTATTTAGTCAAAACAACAGGAGGCCGTTTTCTGTGAATGAGTGCCGCATGAATGAACGAGCGCATCCAGCCCTGCTGCACGTCGTCACGCAGACCAAACTGTGACACGTGACTGCAACGGGACGGGAGACAGAATTCACCAAAATATAGACTGCATGCATACAAATGAGAAAACAACAGCAACAGAAGGAAAAATTTAAAGTAACTGACAGATTCTGCCAAACAGGGTACAAAACAGAGCTTGAAACTATTGAAAATAAAATAAAAAAATTAAAAAACAGTATGGCCTCCAATGGGAATTTTTCTTTATTCATCAGTGTCAATGAAAGACAGTGTTTTAAACTTCAGAAAATGGAAGACAAATTGAATATATGACCAATTCTAATTTTGTATATATTTTATGAGGCTTTTTAAATCCTTAAAATTATTTTTAACAGTTCAAATTGCTGATTTGTATGAATGTTAAACAAAACAAAATAAAAATAAATAAATAAATAAATAAAAATAAATAAATAAAACAAAACAATACAAAACTAAACAAAACAAAACAAAAAATAAAAATGGGTAGCAGCCTTGCAAGTAACATGACTGTCCACTTCTTTTTAATTAAGCTATTGCTCCTTAGGGGATAATTAGTTTGGGACCAAATGTTGGTTTGAAGTAACTGGAAAAACGTAAAATTCCTATTATTTCTCACGATTATTTTACTTACCTTTACAATGATGTTGCTAATATTCCGGTTTTAATACTACTATTAATAGTAATTAAGCAAATGTTTAAAATGTTCACAATTTGAAATGTTTCATGCGTTTTTCTACAATTATGTTTGATAACGGTGTATCTGCAGTGTACAGTAAGTAACAGTTCTCACTCTAAAGTGCACACAATTTGTCTCTTTATTGCTTTTAGATTTAATAAGAAACAATCTGTATCCTATTTGCACAAACCAGCCACTATACCGAGTCACATGGAGAGTGAAAGTGATGAGCGCTGAGGAGAGCAGAGCGGGGGAAAGCTGGAAAAGGTATAGCGCCCCATCAGCTCCATCAACCACGGCCCCGACAGATACAACAATACAGAGTGACAGATCAATTTAGCTCACGACAAAGCCATCCAAGAACGCCTTTGTTCTGTGGTGCGCCTCTCCAGGAACGGGCCGTTTTTAGGGATCACAAACGTCACTCAAGAAAACACCTCCATACAGAGAGACTCTAGAATTACACAAACATCAAATGCTAACATTTAGACTGAATAGCATTTTTTTTTCATTTCAAATAAGACAGTCTCGATGAGATGAGAATGTTTTGGCACTTTCTCTTTGTACTGTTTAAAAAAAAAGCAATAAAAAGCAAAAATCTCTTGTTCTTTGGAGTAGGAACTATTAGATATGTAGATATGAATTATTACCAAACATAAAACAAGTAGATGATTTAACTACATCAATGTCTGTCTCATTTGGACCTTATCTTATTTTCTCAATTTTCACAAGGATTGCAGTGTTGACTGAATTCGCCAAGCTGAACCATGCAACCGTATTCAACATTTCTTGCTCGAGACAAAAAAAAAGTTCCTTAATTTATAGATAATATACAATATTTGGTCCCAAATTAGTCATATCTTAATGAAATGTGTTACTGTCTTCAATCAATCAACAAATAAATAAATAATTTTTATGCAAAAGTTATTTAATGCATATTGCTAGGATATAACAAATCAGGATTTTAAACTGTTCCCAAACATTTTAAATTATTATAACAGAGTTTACAATTTGGAAGCAAAATTAATTTGCTTAATTTAATTTAAAACTTTTTTTTTTCTTTTCTTTAAGGCCTTTTGCACACCCTGTTTATGGAAAGTGTGTCTTACAATTTTGCATAATGAGAATAAACAGTATGCAAATAGTACTTCAAAATATATATTTTTTAAGTTTAAATTTGAGTTCGGAAAGTAAAAAGTGATCACATTTTCAGAAGTCTGGAAAATGTGACATTATAATGATGGATGTGGAATTTAAAAAGTGCACGTATTAAGGAGACAAACTAATTATTTTGTTCTCTAATGAACAATATATATTATTAAGCTTTCATGAGCACAGCAGCGATGTCTCTTTACACTTGACCTTTGACCTCTCTCTGTCCCGTGGAATGTGTCCTCTGAACAGTTGGAGGCAAAAAAAAAAATCGAAAAATCTTGCTGATATAACAATATCAAGAGAAATATTCAACGACTATTAATTCTGACACAATGGTTCAGCCCTGGATCAGTTCACACCAAATCTGCGGTCACATTTACCATTGTTTGACAAGAATCTAGCCATTTTAATAAGAATCCACAGAATCAGGAATTTTACGAAAGATTTCTGACGTAAACTGGGTTCACGTTGGTCACATGACTTTGCTTTGTTGACCAAAAGAAAGCTGCTTGGTTTGAAAATGACTTTTGTTTGAGCTGTGCTTCATACATCGCTACTCTACTGATAATTCAGTAGACGATGGACCTTTTCGCCTGCGATATTTCACTAAAATTTTGCTAATGTGACCACCCTTGTGGCAGAGTCATGAATTGCACGAAAGAGTATGTGTGTTTGTGGCATACAAAACTTCACCAAAGACATCTTACTGCTACTATATCTTGAACAGGAATGTTACCTTAATAATTTCCAGGAAAATGTTGCTTATGGTTGTTTGGCAAAAACATCTTTTGCATCTAAAATTGTCACTGTTTAATTCATATTTACACTGTGTGTGGTGTTTGGTAAAAACCAATTAACATCAATATAAATATACATAAATAGTCATCAGATTGGGCCTACTGATTATTCAAAATGATGATTAAATGAGAACGCATTTGAGAACCCAACAAACGCTGGTTGTACAGTAAGAGCTCATAAAAGTGCAATGACACAGAGCTTGTGGAATGCTCTCGGACGAGCGGAGGAGCCGATAGCAATTAATTGCATGCAGAGGTTTCCACAACTGAGGAAAAAACCCTGATCGTTCTGTGCTGGGGTAAGATTCCAGCAGAGCCATTATATTATTAAGCTTTCATGAGCACAGCAGCGATGTCTCTTTACACTTGACCTTTGACCTCTCTCTGTCCCGTGGAATGTGTCCTCTGAACAGTTGGAGGCAAAAAAAAAAATCTAAAAATCTTGCTGATATAACAATATCAAGAGAAATATTCAACGACTATTAATTCTGACACAATGGTTCAGCCCTGGATCAGTTCACACCAAATCTGCGGTCACATTTACCATTGTTTGACAAGAATCTAGCCATTTTAATAAGAATCCACAGAATCAGGAATTTTACGAAAGATTTCTGACGTAAACTGGGTTCACGTTGGTCACATGACTTTGCTTTGTTGACCAAAAGAAAGCTGCTTGGTTTGAAAATGACTTTTGTTTGAGCTGTGCTTCATACATCGCTACTCTACTGATAATTCAGTAGACGATGGACCTTTTCGCCTGCGATATTTCACTAAAATTTTGCTAATGTGACCACCCTTGTGGCAGAGTCATGAATTGCACGAAAGAGTATGTGTGTTTGTGGCATACAAAACTTCACCAAAGACATCTTACTGCTACTATATCTTGAATAGGAATGTTACCTTAATAATTTCCAGGAAAATGTTGCTTATGGTTGTTTGGCAAAAACATCTTTTGCATCTAAAATTGTCACTGTTTAATTCATATTTACATATGTTTGGTAAAAACCAATTAACATCAATATAAATATACATAAATAGTCATCAGATTGGGCCTACTGATTATTCAAAATGATGATTAAATGAGAACGCATTTGAGAACCCAACAAACGCTGGTTGTACAGTAAGAGCTCATAAAAGTGCAATGACACAGAGCTTGTGGAATGCTCTCGGACGAGCGGAGGAGCCGATAGCAATTAATTGCATGCAGAGGTTTCCACAACTGAGGAAAAAACCCTGATCGTTCTGTGCTGGGGTAAGATTCCAGCAGAGCCAGCATGCAGCTGTTAATTTCATTGCTGAGTACTGAAATACTGAATCTGGATGAATAAATGTTCCGGAAGAGAATTCACTTATGACGCCAGGCGAGTAACTGGATGATCCCTGTTGGGGGAGGAGGTAAACCAACCGTATTTACAGACAAACTCTGACATTGTGTGTGTGTGTACCTCAACATGAAGTCATTAATCTTGCTGTCGAAACGTGAGGCAATAGAGATCAGCGCAGGTTTCACTGACAACCTCACTGTCCATCTGTTCACGCAATGCTAATGTGCACAATCAATCAAACAATGGCGGACACGCCTCATTAAAATATTCAAATGAGATGATAATTGACTGTACGGAAACAAAACTTCACATACATTCATTCATTTGGAAGATACTTATCCAATGTATAGTAGATTCATTTTCAAATGAATGTGTTTTCTGGGAAACAGTCACATGACCTTCCTCATGGTCTACCAGTTGAGCTACATCAATATAGAAAATAACAAAAACGACGTTATTTAACAATGTTGTATTCTCATAGAGGTGTTTAAGCGTGGACAGCGAATGCCAGACGTCATTCTGACGCCCTTGAAAGTCGTTCTGATCAATGCAATGCCTTCATTAACGGCCCTTCAAATCCATTAGGTCAGCAAATTTTCTCTTAAATCTATGCTTGACAAAGCATTTAATGGGTTCTTTAGTAGTAACCCCACTAAAGGAAACGGTATGAAGAAAATGTCACACTTCTACAAATATCCCACCGGTCAACATAGCCTAAAAAATGACTGAGTGAGCCAGTCATCGGCTAACATCATTTTATGACAGCTTTGGGATTTTGGAAATCACCCAATGTACCGCAAGGAGAGAAAGGACGTGAATATTGCTTTAAAATGTTCAGACTGAGGATTTCTCTGCTGCAGACTGATTGACTTGCATGAGCTCTGATGTTGCTCTCATCATGAGAGGCTGCGTCATTCTCTTTAAGGTCATCGCTGCTTATAAAAGCCAAGAAACAGCCACTCTGACATTTTCTGCTCCAAGACAAAAAGGCAAGCCTTTTATCCGCTCCTATTATCATATTTATGTCGGATTGAGAACATTTGATCTACCTGACAGTCTCTCTCTCTCGGTCTATCTATGAAAATGCTAAAACATGTCAGCAGTGTGATAAAAATGGTGGCAACGTGCTAGCAGTGCCTTGGAACAAGCTAAAACATACTAGTAACATGAAAAAACACGATAATGACAGGCTAACAATGCATAGGAACTAGTGGTTCAACGGATCACAAATCTCACGGTTCGGACCACATTACGGTTTCTGACCCACAGATCGGATAATTTTTCGGATCAGCAAGAAAATAAAAATATTTCTATTTAACTTGCTTTCCATTTATTACTTAAAGCGAAGTACTTCTTTGATACCACAGCAAATACTACTAGATGAACTAAGAAAGTTGGTTTAAAAGAGAACAACCAGCAAAAATAAGAACAAATACACAAATTACAAGCATAGATAAATACAACAGAATATGTTACAAATGAAATAAGGTTGGTAGTATTCAAATACAGAAATGTAATGATTAGGGAAAATAACACTGCAGAGCTAACAATTCCTAGGAACATGCTAAACATGCTAACAATGCATGTTTCTGAGTGAAGTCTTGCAATTTTACTACTGACATCAAAACGTAATGTCCATGTTTGTATCTTAAAATACAGGCAACAGGGTGAAAGTCAAAAAACGTGTTAGGAATGTTACCTTAATAATTTCCAGGAAAATGTTGCTTATGGTTGTTTGGCAAAAACATCTTTTGCATCTAAAATTGTCACTGTTTAATTCATATTTACATATGTTTGGTAAAAACCAATTAACATCAATATAAATATACATAAATAGTCATCAGATTGGGCCTACTGATTATTCAAAATGATGATTAAATGAGAACGCATTTGAGAACCCAACAAACGCTGGTTGTACAGTAAGAGCTCAAAAAAGTGCAATGACACAGAGCTTGTGGAATGCTCTCGGATGAGCGGAGGAGCCGATAGCAATTAATTGCATGCAGAGGTTTCCACAACTGAGGAAAAAACCCTGATCGTTCTGTGCTGGGGTAAGATTCCAGCAGAGCCAGCATGCAGCTGTTAATTTCATTGCTGAGTACTGAAATACTGAATCTGGATGAATAAATGTTCCGGAAGAACTAAGAAAGTTGGTTTAAAAGAGAACAACCAGCAAAAATAAGAACAAATACACAAATTACAAGCATAGATAAATACAACAGAATATGTTACAAATGAAATAAGGTTGGTAGTATTCAAATACAGAAATGTAATGATTAGGGAAAATAACACTGCAGAGCTAACAATTCCTAGGAACATGCTAAACATGCTAACAATGCATGTTTCTGAGTGAAGTCTTGCAATTTTACTACTGACATCAAAACGTAATGTCCATGTTTGTATCTTAAAATACAGGCAACAGGGTGAAAGTCAAAAAACGTGTGAAGATCACGTCACAAAACATGTATTTGCTCAAAGAAAATGAGAAATGTTTAACATGATTAAGATTTCACATTGCGAAATAACATTAAACTGTCTCAAGACACTGAGGTCTCACCTTTTGTAGACTTGTGGGGTTGAGCTGTGTTTTATCAATGATCTTCACCGCAACCTAAAAAGCAAATACAGTGTTACAGTGAAATATGTATATTTATAGATTCCTATAAATAGGCTATACATCTGAATAGCTAAAGGCTACGGGGCATCTGCATCATCATCCCTCCCCGCGTCAGAGCAAAACGGCTCCATTTCTTACATAATCTGGAGTTTCTCTTGGTCCTGCAAGCGTGTTTTGATGTACAGGCTGTTAAATAATGCATGCTGTTTCCAGCACTAGCTAAGTGTCTTTATTATAAAACTCAAAAGAATCTCTTCCGCTTCCCTGAATGAGGGAGAACTGAGAGTCAAGGGTTAAACAGGATAAATGCATAATGCGATATGCTTTCTGAGTTATGTTTGTAAATGGAAACCACAGTCTGTACAACTCTCACACCGATTTCTTTGTCTTTGAATCTACACCCATTCCTAAGAACTGCAGTGTTATTATTGGAATGTTTTACTTTTAAAATAATCACAATGTGTTTCTATGAAAAATGAAGTGTCAAGACAATTTCAAATGCTGGAATTCTTCAATTCTCCAAATATGACAATGTAGTAAAAGTGTTAGCATTATTACTGTATATATTAGTGCTTTCAAACGATTAATCGCATCCAAAATAAATGTTTTTGTTTACATAATATATACAGTATGTGTGTGTACTGTGTACATTTATTATGTATATATAAATACACACACATGCATGGACATATTTCAGAAAAATATGTTATGTTAATATATTAAAAATATTTATATATATAATATAAATTATATCAATATAAATATATACTGTACATGTAGATACATGTAAATATTTTCAAAATATATACTGTATGTGTGTGTATTTATATATACATAATAAATAAACAGCACACATACATATATTATGTAAGCAAAATGTAAGCACCTTTATTTTGGATGCGATTAATCATTTGACAGCATTAGTACATAAAACAATAAATATGTATCTGCTCACCTCTCTTCCTGTTAAAACATGGCGGGCAAGCTTGACTTTAGCAAAGTTCCCTTTGCCGATGGTTTTGAGAAGTCTGTAGTTCCCGACGTGAGGCTGTTCGTCTGTGATGGACGCCACTGAGTTGCGGCAGCGTGGGAGACTCTGTCGACTCGCTGATTTCGTGGGTGGTGCTGGTGTGTCCGTGTAGCCATCGACAGACGTGTGCTGAGAGACGAAAGGAAAGGGTGGTCAATTCAAACTACAAGTAAACAAAAACAATATCTTGCATTGTAACAAATGCAATTTCCAAAAATTATGACATTTAAAAAAAAAATTATAAAAAAATGCACTCACTCAAACTTGCTATACTCCTATAAGATCCTAATTAATTTTAAAAACTACAAAAAAAGTGTTGATTTAATTAAACTATAATAAAAAAAAAATAACATTGACATATGATATTTGAAATTATTTAAATAACATCTCATTTCAATTGTGGATTTCATGCCATCATATCAACACTACTGTCTTTGTGTTATTGCTGGATTTCAGATTTTGCTGAGAAGTAAATCAAATATTTTATTTTGATTTGATTACTTTGTCTACAAAAACTGCATTACAAGTTACAAAACCTCAAAACAACAAGAAAAAACATTGAAGCAACAAGTTGGGCCGTAACAGGGCAGACTGCGTTCGCTTTTAAATAGTGTGTGAGTAATACCTACTTGTTTAAAATAGATATAAAGTAAAATTTGTGCCAAACAAAAATGTGTAATATAATAAAAAGTTTTTTTTTTCTTTTTAAACATTCCATTAGAATTACATTCTGGTGTAACTTGTACTTGTTCTCTCTGAATGCATTCTTCTAATCCAATGCGCTACTTTTCAATTGCATCTTGCACATGAATGCTGCGATTTTAAGTTAAAAGAATATCAACTTTTACACGTAGCGCCGCTCAACAATGTCAATTCCAAAACTGTGGACCAATCAGAAGACCCAAGAGGCATGGAATTCATCCCCTTTAAAGAATAACATCACACTATCATCCATTAAAGCAGAAAGTTTGTAACAAACTCATCACCTTCAACAAAAAAATAAGAGAATTACAGTGAAACGTTTAAATTGTAGGAATCCGTACACATTCAGATGTGTTTGGCTGTTATTCTGTCCCTATTTTTTTCAGCATCTCACGAGATGAGCATTTTTTTTTTAAAGATAACACATCACGTTAAAAATGGTTTAACTTTTTAAAGTTTGTCAAGACCCCTGCATTCTGTTTAATTCTGTTTCACTCAGTCCGGCTGTTTCTGAACACACATACACACACATACACTCACACACACTCACACACACAATTAGTCCTATGTGAATGAAATGAGTGTCACAGTACAAGACTCCCTTAAGGCCTTTGCTTCCCTAGTTCTGTTGTTGCTCCAGCACTTTTTGAGCTCAGTCAAACAATTACATCAATGTGACAAAAGCACTGGAGCTAGTTAACTTCAGCTAGGCCGCAGTAGAAATCTGGCAGTCAATATACAGAAGCTACTGGATAAAGTGGAAAATGAGCTGAGACCTTCAGTATGAACCACAGAGAGCACTTACAACAGAATCCATTACCAGTGGAGCGCTGGGACCCCAGCAGTGGAGCTTCATTTACCTGAGACTGTGTCTACGCTATGAAACCTGATCTGCTTTGGCCATCATAAAAGCCCTCATTTTGAACCTCATGAAACAATATGATTGGTTTTAAGCTACACAAGAATGGAAAAGCCTTGTTGAAAATGACTTCCCGCATCCAATAAATATTATTTGACTTTAAACTTGCTTATTATGAAAGAAGAAACAGAGTGCTTACACAAGCATATGGCTGGTCTGTGATTTATTTATTTTTTTTCAGAATGAGAACAACAAAAAAAACTGTTGGTTTTATTAATTTTTAATGACTTTTCAAACCATTCAGCTCACCAACCACTGTAATGACATGACTAAAAAACAAAGCCATTATGAGTAATACATGCAGCATACAGCACAGCAGGTAACGTTGAATCCTTAGCAGTAAAATAACGGTCTTGTTCACTAAACAAGAGTTAGGGGTGGGCGATATACCGGTAGACACGATTAACTGGTAGAAATTTGTCGATCGGTAGAGATTTAGTCTCTATTAGGGCTGCATGATAAATCGAAATGGAATCGAGACAGCGATTCGACAGAAGCTGTGATTGTCATGCGTATCTTTAGGGAAGTCGTGGCCTAATGGTTAGAGAGGCGGACGGGTAACCCAAAGCTTGCGGGTTCGAGTCTCGTACCGGCAGGGATTGTAGGTGGGGGGAGTGAATGTACAGCGCTCTCTATTAAATTTTGTATTTTCACATGCTTTCAGATGGAGCAGCATTTACTTCACAGAGCCGTAGTTCACTGAGAAGCTATACAAACAGCTGTCATTATCGCGCAATAAAATCGTCTGCGATTTTTTTTTGCGTAACTTGTCAGTGAACTACGGCTCTGTGTAGTAAATGCTGCTCCATCTGAAAGCACGTGATGATGATTTCCTGCTGATTACAGAACCGGCTTTTTAAACAAAATGCGCATGACAATCGCATTCGATTTATCGTGCAGCCCTAGTCTCCATCACAGTTACACGCTGACGTGACGTTGCTGTGCTACGGTCACAAAAACTTTAAATGCAATCCGCAGGCAAAGAGAACTCATTTCGCTATATGCGCGCGCTGTTTGAGAGACGGTGCCCAGAGTGCGGGAGTATTGAACGGAGCTATTTCTGCTGCTTTATAGGCTTTAAACGGTTAAATACACACACCTGTACATGTCAAAGTGTGTAACAGTATATTGGATCCGGGCAGCTCTTAAAGTGGCAGCAGTCTAATATTCCTGCTGTCTGTCATTCATGTTAATCAGACAACAAAAGAGAGAAAATCTCTCACTGCTCTTGACTAAATCACTTTTGTAACTTTAATAAGAAGGTATATATATATACATTTAAAAAAAAGTTTTTTATTCACCCACAGTGAAGAATATGCAGTGTTTTTATATATTTGATTACTTTATCACCCACAGTGAAGAATAGGCAGTGTTTTTATATATTTGATTACTTTATACAATGTACAGTATGTGGCATTTCATATTTATTTGTTTTACTGTAGTTTTTGTGTCCTATTGCTTGTAATTAGTTTCTTAATCTTATTTAATTGCTGACTGTTTACTTGTCTTCAGTGAGCTTTTGTTTTCAATTTAAGCAAATTGAAATGAATTTGGAATCACGTTTTTAGAGGGCATTACTGTGCTGACCGTCACAGTTTCTGCTAGACTTTGAACATGGAAGAGTACGTTGAAACTGTTGTTTTCTCTTAATTCATTCCCTCAAAATTACTTCACTCTAAAAAAACAAAAAAAAACAAGACTAATTTGATTTCATACTGATTTATGTAACAATATAATTATTTTATGCCAGAACAATGCTGTTACGATATCAACATTTTAGAAACTGATACTACAATTTCACAATGCTAAACACCAGTTCCACAGCCAAATTAAACTAATACTAGACTAACTAATGTAAGAAAAAAGTCCTGAAGCAACTGGTGAAGACAAGTGAACAAAGAACAGTATGTGAGAATGGAATCAAGCTCTTTTTTAAGGCCTTTTTTTATACCTAGCACATCCCGTAGATTAGCAACAGTAGACTGCATTTTACGAAAATCACGTTAACTTTGTACAAACCAGTATGAATAGTAAAGATATTAAACAGGTTTAAAATTTTTAATTTTTTTTACAATGAAACGTTCATAGTGACAGATCTCACCAGAAAAGTCGAAAGATCCAGTTATGACATTTTGATTAAATATTACAAAGTCCAAAAATCTGAAACATACACATGGATGAATTGTTTACAATAAGATCTGTAAACATGTATTTGCAAACTAGGTGAATTTTCATTTCCACCCCAACTAGAGTCTCTCACCCATCCCTAACACAAACTAAATTACAGAGTACATTTCCCTGACAAGAAACACAATGATAGGACTTTCAAGATAAACTGACTGAACTGAAGTTGTGTCCAGAACTGAATGGAAGAGCCTGCTGTGAATAATTGCTGAGTCACTTGTACAGTAAAGTCCTGTGACTCTGGTGACCTGAGGATGACCTGTGCTATATAACGCAATGAAACACAAATGAAACAATGTCCGTCACTCTAACACTAGAGAAAAGACTTTCTCTAGGTCTTACTATCACCGTGTCTCCTCTATTGTTCCTCATGGCACACAACGACATTAAGGTAACCCAATAAAGATCTCCTCTATTTACCCTGGTCAATACGCCGTCTTTACTGCCTCACAATGAAGGTTAGTTTAAGGGCATGAATGTCACGTGTTCAATGCATGTTAAGCTTTATCAGCAGCATTTGTGGCATAATGTTCATTTGAACTCATCCCTGTTTACAGTAATGATGGTCTATGAGTCCAGCATTATGGAGGGTTTAACGCCTTTGCTGTCACCCCACATTTTCGGCATGGAGACACAAATGACATACCCACAATAAAAAGGTTGCTGCTCATGTGTCTTTCTGACTAGATACATAATCAACATGTGTTCACAAAGCTAACACTTCAAAGTTTACTGTTCAAGAATCAGAATTACTCAGACTGTTATGATAATAGAGATATAAAAATAAAAATATTTTAAAAATATTTTTTAAATGTATAAAAAATATATGTTGCTGTGGTAAGTGGTTTTAGAAACACAATGAAGCTAAAGCCACAAGTCTACTAATGCTTCATTTCAAATTTCAGGACATAATCTCTAAAACTGTGAATTGTATTAATCTTTTTCTATGACCATGTCATGTGTGTCTTTAGAGAAGGCTAATAACAGGATAATAAAATTGATTTATGGCCCCCTGTGAGCTCTCCTGCGTGCTGTCTCCTCATGTCTGACTCGGCAAACTGCCCCATTCATGATTCTGCTGTTGTCACGCGACGAACCTTTCACACCTCCACAAGGTATGAGACATTATCCTCATCATTCCTTTATCATTATTCTTTTGTTTTATTCAGCCATTAGTAGCCTTTATTCTGGCATTACAAGGTTTACCAAGCCACATCGCTTCAATCCAAAATAAGTTGTTGTTTTATAGCTTGTGTTTGGCAGTGTTATTTTTTAGGATTACAGATAAACTACTGTCATTTGATTTGTATTATTTGTCTTTGTT